TGGGTCTAATTTCCTTTGAACCATTTAACTTGAATCTACAGAATTGGGAATGCCATTTCAAATCAGAATGGACAGTTACATGTGGAACTTTGTCCTGAAATCCTGTCCGTTATTTCAGAAAGTATTAGAAACCCAAGAACAGTTTGGGAACATTTTGTTTGAAGTTTAGATCTGTATTGAGCTATTTGCTATGATCAACCAAAAGTTAAGAGTTCACTATATGGTACAGCCCAGGTGGTTAATCATTCGTTTGGGGTTTGGAACTACGTGAAACCGAGTTTTCTTAAAGGGAAGAAAATAAAATCCCGTTTTTAACGATTAAAGGTTTAAAGTGATGAACTGTGTCAGACGTACGCACGATCGTGGGGCAGATTTCCACCATTCTGTGAACTCATGGTGTAAAATGGCTCGACAGGGTACGATCGCTTTGTTGGGAGCCCTGGCGTTCACCTCGGACCCTGCTGTTTAGTTTTAAGTGAAAGGACAAGATAATTCTTGGCTTAGGTCTGCATTAGCATATACTGTGATCTTGCAGACAGGGTTCAGAAGCAGAACTCAGAGTACATTTAGCTGGTGGTCTTCCTGAGCTTGGCTGGGTTTATTCTCCCTTACAGTAAGCTCCTCGAACGTGTACGTTGGTTGAGTGCCTCCAGAATTCAGACCTGTTTCTTTACTTAAACCTTTACGATGCGTTCTGGAAGAGCTGTACAAAGCGGGAGTGGAGAGCTTGGCTTCACCTGGCCACGGGGCCTGACGTGGGCATCGCTGTGTCGCTCGCTCACCGTTCACATTCTAAGCAGTTTGCTGCCACCCCTGACCAGGCACCTGTTCCTTTCCACAGGTCTTTCTGTGGAGCATGCGGTCCTACACGTTAATCCGGAAGCTAGAGGGCCACCAAAGCAGTGTTGTCTCTTGTGACTTCTCACCTGACTCCGCCTTGCTTGTCACGGCTTCTTACGATACCAACGTGATCATGTGGGACCCCTATACTGGCGAGAGGCTGAGGTCACTCCAGTAAGGACGGACTCCCTGCTTAGGACTTTCTTGGCGGGGGTGGTGACTGATGAGAAAGCTGCCTTGGGTTAGGCACGTCCCTCGCAGAGTCCAGGGCATGGGAGGGGACAGTCTGGGTAAAAGGCACAGTGGGTTCGGTGTTTCTCAGGCGTTGGCTTGCAGGGGCACCTCGCCGTCAGTTACGTTCTCAAATTAGACCCGAGGGCTTCAGGGCTCCTGATACAGGAGGCGGTGTGTACTCTGGATTCAGCATTAACGAAACCTCAAAATGACTCTTTCTTTCCATTTACTAATAACTGTAGTAGCAAATTCAGAACAGTCTTCTTACTGAAACTGGTATTTCCAAAATGAATTTTCATGTTCTCACAAACTTGGTCTTTTTCTCTTTGTCTCTGTTGTTTTCTGAAGCAAATAATAGGCAGTCCTATAATTATCATGTATCTTAACCTAAAAAAGGCTTTCAGTTTGTACTGTGGTATTAAAGTGAGGGCTGACCTACTTTGCATAAGGAAATCAGCGCAGGGAGCGCGACTAACCCTTCAGCCCCTTCCACAAGGCACCTGGAGCCTTAGGAAATGCGCTGTTTCCCCCCAGTCTGCTTATCCTGAGGTTTTCCAGATGGGGTACAAGATGGGTCTTGAGCCTTTCCTAGTCGCACCATTTTGGCCTCCTGCCTGGGAAAGAAGATGAAGGGTGGAGAGTGGCCCATCACTCCAGGCCTGTCATCCTGTTCCTTTCTCCTCAGCCACACCCAGCTTGACCCCCCCATGGACGACAGCGATGTCCACATTAGCTCCCTGAGGTCCGTGTGCTTCTCTCCCGAAGGCTTGTACCTCGCCACGGTGGCGGATGACAGGTAACGAAGAGACACCTCTGTACGGGGCCTCGGAGCAAGTCCCTGCGAGTAATTGTAGCATTACCCTCTGGCCTGGCCTCAGGTCTGCTGATGCGCAAACGTGTCTTTTCTCTCTCCGTCCAGACTCCTCAGGATCTGGGCCCTGGAACTGAAAACTCCAATCGCATTTGCTCCTATGACCAATGGTCTTTGCTGCACATTTTTTCCACATGGTGGAGTTATTGCCACAGGGTATGTATCTGATAGCTGAACAGATGGGTAGCAGTTTCTGCTGAGTGTACTATGCAGCTTTTTAAGGGAAGAAAGCCTCTAGAATTTTCTTGCCTACGGTGAAGCCTTTAAAGAAATCCAAGAGGACACAAAATTCTAATATTCTATTCTGCCAATACAGGTTATCATTTACTCTTAATGTTCAATCTAAATGTAAAGAGCTGTGATTCATGCCACTTAATGGGCCAAGTTCACAAGGAAGCAGAAATTGAGATGATGCAGAAATTTATATGGGAAACCATTTAGGGCAGAGACCACCTTACAGGGAACGTCCATAATTTAGGAGGTGGCGCTCTTCCCTCCGTTACATTTGAACTCACAGTGTGATCTAGAAGGGCTGTGCTCCCAGATAGCCCTTTGGTACCCCACCTTTGGTACCAAAGGTGTCTTGAGTTCTTCTAATCCTCCCCGAAGCCTTAATTATTCAGCATTACAGCCTTCACATCGATTCCAACCATCAGGGTTGCACTTAAGCGTTGCAGTTCACTCTCTGGGTGTCTCCTGCCGATGCAAGTCAGAGTAGGAAGGTGAATACCCGTCACAGTGAAAACATGTATTTCTGAGGTCGGCCTTAAAGCGTCCGTCTCTGTTTTGTTTCAGGACAAGAGATGGCCACGTCCAGTTCTGGACAGCTCCGAGGGTCCTGTCCTCACTGAAGCACTTATGCCGGAAAGCCCTTCGAAGTTTCCTAACCACCTACCAAGTGCTAGCACTGCCGATCCCCAAGAAAATGAAAGAGTTCCTCACATACAGGACTTTTTAAGCCACGCCCCATAGTCTTATACTTGTTTTCTTGGTAGCAGGATAAACCTCCCTGGCAGGGGAGCAGCTGGAACCAGGGGCCAGTTATCAGGTCTTGGCTCCGAAGATCATTTCTTTTTGGGACTGTGAACAGAATGTAGGGAAACCAGATACCAGTGGACTAGTCACCAGGGATTTTCTCCGTGACATGGGGAGGTCAGTCACAGAGGGGGACTCCGGCTCCGCGACAGCTGAGCCTTCCCTTAAACCCTGAGTCCACTTACAGACGGCAGTGCCCAACACCTTTTAAAGTCATGGTTTTGATTCAAGCGCAGTTACTCATGTTGATTCGGTAAGAAGGGTCAGCAGGCCTCAGGAGCCTCTGTGTCGGGGCGGAGTTGGGTCCCTCGACTGGCAAGCGTGGCTTCTGCCCCGCACTTAAACGTTGTCGTGTTTCACACACAGTGGTGACACTGTTCTGAAGTTCTCTCCTGCTGTGTCAGAGTGGCTTTGATGTTGGCAAGTGCCGTCCTTCCTCTGGCTCCCCTCTGACCGGCAGGACAAAATGCAGGACAAAGTTTTCACGGAGCCGTGTGCCATGAGGTATTGACTAAATTGCAGCTGACTCAGAGGCCGTGCTCCCGACTGATACACTATAAATGGCTTTTTTTTTTTTTTTTTTATAAACAGTGGTGTGCATGTGCAGGCGATGACAGATGTGTATGTCCGGTCCCACACAGATGTCCCCCTAAACTGCATGACTGTTCAGATGGCCACCGCGTTGGCAGGTGTTTGCCATTTGTAGCATATTTATTTGTATTTTCTCAGCAGATGTTAAGGTACAACTGTGTTTCCCTCCACGGTATCTAAAAACCATAGTTGTTAAGCCGACCAGTTGTGAAGATGTCTCTTCTTGATTGTGTAGAGAATTGGTGTGGCCGCCCCTTCGGCTGATTCTCGTGTACGCGGTCTTCCTCTGCTGCGTCACCTCATCGGACTCCTCAGCCGGTGTCACCTCCGCCCCTTCACAGAAATAGCTCCTTGAAAGTACTGTTCTCTTTCCTTCAGTGGCGTGTCATTATCTGATCAAGACACCTCATTCCAATGAAATCTGCCTTTGGAAAATTTAATATATTTTAAATTATTTTAAAAGAAACACAACACCTTATCCTTTGGCTTTCTTACTAGGTGCTTTTTGGAGGCCAGTGTAACATTATAAAACTTGTTGCAAAAGTACGAGAGTCCCCCCTACCACCTTTGTTGCCGAAGAAAAACATTTCTTTTCAAGATGAGAGGCTTCCATTGAAGGGAAAGTTAAAAAGCTTTTGGCTCACCGTTTCATTTTTTCCACTAAGAAAAAAATACCACCTCTCAAACCAAGTGAGTACAGCAGGACAGCGGGGAATGGCTGGGGCCAATTTTCAATTTTGTGGTTATCTTGAAATGTCACAGCGTAGTCTGAGAGGCTCTGGGCGGCTTCCCCGAGGCCCCACTTTGCCATTAGCTGCAAACTTTGCTTGGTGTCCTCAGGGAGTGGGTTGAACGCGAATGATGGAAGTAACCAACTTCTCCCTTTTGAATAGTATAAGAACCTGACACCTTTGTAAAGAATAGCCTCCGAGGAGAGCTTATTCTGTGATACCAGAGATGGGGGAGGCTTTTCACATAGATGCAAGTTGAATGACCGCGTGTTTATAATCGGCGAAGGAGTCACTCGTAACACAGCCAACACGCAAGCTGCTTTATTTTTATTGAGAAGAACACTATCATAAATGCAGCCTGTTTGCTCTAAAATAAACTGCCACACTGCACAGGGCCTCGTCCTTGCGGCTTCGAGTCCGGCCCACGCTTGCCTGCCCTCCTCGCATTAAGGAGGGAGTCCTAGGCCTGGCCCCCATGGGCACAAAGTGACTCTTCACTGTCCACACCGCAGTTAGGAACCTACTTTAAGAGGAGAAATAGACGCTTTTCATGTAAGGGAACCTGAGGCCCGGTGCCTCAGGTTAATGGGCCAGAAATGCATTAACACCTATTTTTTTCTTCATTAACACCTTTATAAAGTAGATATGGAGATGGTGCCACAGATTAGATTTACACACTTGATTCTGGAGATGTTCAGTTTACCTTGAGTAATCGAAGACACTGGTACCACATGAGATTTGGAAGCCTTTTGTTCTAGACCAAAATGGGGTAGGCCAATTTCCTGCCATCTAAGCAATCGAATGGTAAAAAGCCTTAAGGCTAAAAGAAAGCATTTTACTCTTTTCCTGTGAAACAAATGGGCAGTGCAATAAGAGAGCTGTATATTAAAACTGTTTGGTATATACCTGCTCCAAACACAAACATGGTACTTTTTAAACCTTTGCCCACCCGTGTCTGGAACAGTTTTCCAAAACGTGGGGTGACTGGCTTCATCCCCCAGCCCGCACAGCAGTTCATCCCGTGTCAGAGTCCCCTCTTCTCCAGTCACTGTGGGGCCCGCGAATGGTGGCGAATGGTCCTCAGCATTTAGGCCTCTGTGACGATCAGGTCCCTGGTGACCTGGAAAGCGGCTATGAGGGAACTCAGCTGAATCTTCTCGTTGGTGCCAACAGAAAGTCTGTACCTAAAAGAAATCAAACAAGGTAAGAATAGAGAATATCACGGACAGCTACCTTTTGACAAGAGAACAGTAGAGATCAAAGACGGAACATCTGCTGAAGGAGGAAAGGAGGCAGTAAAACTTCATCATGAACAGTCCTCTTGAATGTGTCCCCTAACATTTTCTTCTCTGCCCTGAACACTCATTTCTAATTCGATCCAAACTGGTGAGGAAAAGTTAAATAAAAAAATTGTTAGTTGTCAACGGCAGCGTCCTGAACTTAACTTTGTTCTAGCTGTACAGGGGTATGCAGAATTTACATGACTAAGGATTACTTCTTCACTCGCAAAATGAATTGAGAGAAATTATCATTCAGATTCCCTTCCTCTTAATTCACTGGGAAGTATGGCTGACTGTGGTTCTGTGCTCTAGTAAAAGGTAAAGCAGGACACCGGTAGTCTATCTTGCCACCTTTCAGGCGCCCAGCCAGCGAAGGCAAAATCACGACATTCACAGCATGGGGCTAAGGGACCTAAAGTGCGCATGTGGAAAGCCAGAGATAGCAAATTAGAGCTGGCCCTGTGTTGGCCTCTGTTTTGAACCCAATGCTTTTGTCTACCTAAATGATAGCTGCCAGCTTCACTGGGGGCTAATAACTGTGTTTATGGAGCCAGGCAAAGTGGAAAATTGAGTTTATGTTTACTTTTCCCCCCAATATGCTTTGCTATGCCAAAATGCTTTAATAACAGCTGGATAGCCGCTTGTCCCCAAGTGACCTGGATGTCGGAACCGAAGCAGGCCTTCCAAATAACAGCATTTCTAGAACCGACGTGGACCAGGCCTCTGAGGCCTAAGGAGAAGCCTTTATCTCAAATATGTAACTGAGCTGAACCTGTCCTTATGTTTATTCATATGTTCTTTAGATACGCAAATCATGCCCTTCCCCATGTTTCTTTCAGCGATCTCACCACAAACGAGATTGTGCCATTTATGAATGATGTAGACAAAATTGCAACCACGCAGGTAGGAGGGAAAAAAAACACTACAGGGTAAAAAAAGGAAAAGAAAATTGCGAAATACTCACTCAATGTCTGCCATTTTGGTCAATAAATGTACTCGAACTGAAGATGGAAAGTCAACTGGGGGAAAAAACAAAATCAAGTGAGTGAGGTCTGCCACTCGCTGCTACCAAAAAAAAAAAAAAAAAAAAAAAAAAAATCACACCATGATTAGGAATTTAAACATCAGGTGACACTAAACTTGTCTGGAGGCCTCAGATCACCAGGGACCGCACTTCTGAAGAAGTGAACACTACAGGTTTTCAGTTTTTACCCATTTTGTGAGCAGGTTCCAAAGTGGTCACAAGGACACAAGATCAGCAGCACTGCTTTAGCAAGGGGGCAGCTCTAGAAGGGAACTGGAAAGCCCAGTTCTCACTTGCTGTCCCAGTTTTACAAACAAATGTAATCAACTGAATTTTAAACGTCTATTCACACTCATTTCCCACAAAGTGCAGAGCTGGGCTTGAGTGGACCATGTTCTCGGGCAGCGGTCGTACCGGTTGGCCCGGTGAGGCCTGGAGAGGCCCCGGCAGGATGATGGCGGACCGGCAGGACGAGTGTCTGTAGTTGGCTGTCGCGGAAGGAAGGGTTTGCCCGAAAAGGCCACACAGCAGATCGCCTGGAGCGCCTGAGAAAATCCTGATGCCCAGTCCCCTCCAAAAGGCCAACTGAATTGGTCTGGGGGGCTTCCTATACACTGCCAAGGAGGAGAACCACTTCTCTGTACAGAAGTTACGACCAAGTGTGGAACTTCGCGTGGTTCGCTTCAGACTGCTTTGGTTTACACTGAAGACAGATGTTCCTCCTCCTCTCCTTTTGGGGGAAGATACCCTTAGAAATGACAGCGTGAATTACAGCATACTATTTGCTGCTATAAAGTACAAACCCTTGGAGGAATGAAAGTTGGCCCTCAAGAGTTTCTTTCCCCAGCAGTTTTAGAGGTTGAGAGAGTAGCTGGGGAACAAAGTTTCAAATAGCAACAAGACAAAACTAAAACTGAGGGTTCAGGTTCATACTTCATTCCTGTTTCTTCGCTTCCAAAGTGGAGCCTCGTGTTCCCTCCCCACCACCCTTAAAGCCCGCCACACGCCTCCCCCTCAGCTTCTCAGCTAGGAAGAGCCTGACTTACCTCTGTGCACAAACAAGTGTATCTCTGTCAGGATGTCCTGTAACGCCAACCCCTTCAGCGTTTTCAACTCTGTAATATCTAGAGAGGAATGGTTACGGCAAAAGGCACAAATTCCAGTAGAAACCCGCTGCACACAATTTTGAAGCCAGACTCTGGTCAGAGTGACTGGGAAGTAGGGTTTTTAATCCTGACACGGCTGTTTTCTTTCGATTTGAACCTGCATGCGTTGGACCCCAATTCTTATCTTTATTTTATTGTAGAGTGAGAGTGTGTAAAGGAGAAGGGCAGAAGGAGACGGAGAGAGAATCCCAAGCAGGCCACCTGCTCAGCTCAGAGCCTGACACGGGGCTTGATCCCATGACCCTGGAGTCATGACCTGAACCGAAATCAAGAGTCAGACGCTCCAGCGACTGAGCCACCCAGATGCCACGCCCCCCCCTTCTAAAAAATTGTTTTTATCTTCAACAAGAGCTTCCTTCTGTCTCGTAGAGAACAGAGCTAAATGCATCTCCCAGAAGGCTACCCCTAGCTTTCCATTTCACCGCAAAATGAGAATAACAGTGGCCACTTGAAAATGATCACATCTGCCACCCCAAAGTCTAACTGCTTCTCTCATCCGTGAGGAAAGTGGCTTCAAGCCATACCCAGGTCAGAGCCCTTCAGGAGGAAGGGCTTTAAAGGCAGGGAGCCACTCCACCCAGAGACCTGTTGTTCCCACTGAAAGCTGACCAGATACATACACAGCCAACTGCCTTTTGCCAGTAGGGTGTAGACACCGGTTGCAGCCTGGGCTCCTGGGCCAAGTTCTGTCCTGAGGTACCTAATGTGCCATCGGCAGGACGTGAGAAAGGATACTTCTGTAGGCTGTCGTGAAGTCTTGATTCAACATCCAGTCCAGAATGTTGGCGATGTCTGACTTGAGTGGGTGCCCAGTGCAGGTGTAGACGGTCTCCTCTGTCACCTTCCCAAAGGCCATATTGGTGCTCTGTGCAGATAGACGGGAAGAATCATGGTGCCCGTCACCGCGGCGGGTCAGGAGGACACCGGAGGCAGCAATACAGGTAGGCAGTAATGTTATGTGGGTGCAGGGCAGCTCGAACCCCGCACGGTGTACCCTGGGAAGACCTGGCCTCGTGAGAGGATGCCACTGTGGTGTTACAGCTGCAGCGTCCTTCCCTAGCTTTCCCTTGTCTCCAGCAAATTATTCTTGCAATTTTTCAAAACACAAAGGTTAGGGGGAAATCTTTGGTACGTTGTGAGACGGAGATCTTACCAGGTGTGGATTTCTGAATTTCTAGGTTGGCTGTGCTGCTGCTTCTTTCTTGAGAAACTATTCCAAAGCAGTGCCTAAAGATTTGCTAGGAGTAGTACCATACCTGCAGAATGTTCAGAGCCCTTCGCATATCTCCGCTGGAAAGAGTCACAAGTGCTTTCATCCCGTCCTCACTTATGTCCACCCTGAAAGGAGAGAGGCAGGAGGACCTCAGGGGCCTGGAGAGCGCAAGCGTTCACCAAGGGAATGAGATGGCCTGGAATGATTAAGGCTTTGAAGTAATGAAAGAAAGGGAAGGACGGAGGGAGAACTCTCCTGATCTATAGGACCCAGAATTCACTCTGGTTTTAAGGAGTGTGGGCTTCGCATTAGCAGTCACAGCCCACTCAGAGTCTAGAAAGACACTTATTTAGGACCAGGCATCGCCATGCTGAGCGACGGGCTTTGAGTTCTGTTCTGAGAGGAAAGAGCACCCGGAGCAAGGGCCCGGAGCACGAAGCCAGAGCACCCCCTTCAACAGGCAGCAGCTGGGGTTGGCTACTTGGCAACCGATTGATTCTACAGAAGGCAAAGTCTCGGTACCTTCCCTTCTAGTCAAAAAAGGCTAGAGGCATCTTAGCAGAAGGGACCTGGCAGCATGCAGTCTCCAATGACAAAAGGAGAGTAGGAGGAAATCGGGACAGCTTCCACGGGGGAGGAGGATGGAATCAGGAGAAGAACCAAGTGCCGTTTACGAAGAAAGTCCAGGAGATAGCAGAGAGGATGACGACAGCTGACAGCCCGATGCTTCCTCTGTGCCCGGCACCCTACTTCGTTGTCTACACACATGATCACCTGTAAATGTCAACCGGCCAGCCATCCCAGAACCCGGCCTACGCTGCTCAGTCCCCAGGGCCCTCACATTTCCTGCTTTCCGATGTACTTACTTCTCTTCTTCTACAACATGTTCCAGGCGGGGAACCATGAGTTCAGGAGTCAGAGGACCGAATCGGAACCTCGTACAGCGGGACTGCAAGGCGGGGATGATCTTTGACAGATAGTTACAGATGAGGCAAAAGCGGGTATTTTCGGTAAATTTCTCAATCACTGGCAAGGGAAAAGAAAACAACCTCATGTCCATTCGGATCCTTCAAAAGACCTGGAAACCCTGAACTCTTCCATGGTCACGTGAAGGGTACAGAAAACAAGAGGTGCAGATTGCAAGCATGGAGGGGATGCTACTGTAACAAGAGAGGCGGTCTCTGTGGTCCGGATGGGGGCACCGGCCACTCTCTTCCCAAAAGCTGGTGAACCGGTCATCTCTACAGGATTTTATAAAATGCTTCCTTTTTGATGACTTGCCCTGATTCTGGCACCCCCCCATCCCCCTCCATAGCACCCCTGCCCCTGCCATCCCCCTCCATAGCAACCCTGTCCCTGCCATCCCCCTCCATGGCACCCTGCACCTGCCATCGCCCTCCCCAGCACCCCTGCCATCCCCCTCCAGCACCCCTGCCATCCCCCTCCATAGCAATCCTGTCCCTGCCATCCCCCTCCATAGCAACCGCGTCCCTGCCATCCCCCTCCATAGCACCCTGCCCCTGCCATCCCCCTCCCTAGCACTCCTGCCCCTGCCATCCCCCTCCATAGCACCCCTGTCCTTTTGCATAAAACTCTATGGCAGGTTGGTGATGCCCCACCTTCTAATGGCGGGGCCGGGGGTACCTCCGTGTGGACTGTCCGGTGCACTTTGTCTCGAAGCCTTAGAGCATTCGAGAGAGTGATGAATTCAGACAAGCTTATGAAACACCAGTTTCACTCTGCCGTTTCCCAGTGGTCTCGCATGGGGATCTGCCCAGACTGACAGCCATTCCACGGAGCAAATGCTGAAGAAAGGCTGCCAAGGCTTTTAAGATCAGAAGATACTCTAACTGTCCTCCTCCTCCTCCCAAACATGGGCTGCAATCCACTCCTTCTCCCCCAGAACTCCAAAAGATTGTTCTTCTCTCCTAGTTGGTTACCTCAGAATCTTTTTTTTTTTTTTTTTACATTTATTTATTTTTGAGAGACAGAGTGAGACAGAGAGGGAGAAGGGGAAGGGCAGAGAGGGAAGGAGACACAGAATCTGAAGCAGCCTCCAGGCTCTGAGCAAACAGTCAACACAGAGCCTGATGTGGGGCTCGAACCCACGAACCGGGAGATCATGACCTGAGCCGAAGCCAGACACTCAACAGACTGAGCCATCCAGGTGCCCCAGTTACCTCAGAATCTTAATGCCAGAGATTACCAATGTCCTTTCAGAGAAATCAACTGCACCAAGCCCCTTAAGACAGACAACTAGCGTGATACTCTCCTTCCCTGCCAAATCATTCCCTTGGCAAGTAGGGAAGTCACGTCAGCTTTCTGAGTGCGACAACATTTCCAGTATTATTTTCTTGGCTACTGTGTATCTCGGGGTATTGAGAGCAGAAAGGTCTACCTAGCAGCTGAGGAATACACGACGTTCCGTACCCCCTGTCCTCATCAAAGAATGCAAATTCTCAGCCCCAAAATGAACCCAGTGGAAAAGGAGGATGCAACACCTGTGTCTGGTCGGACTTGAAAGTCCCAACAGGGCTTCTCCCTTTAAGCTGCTGCAAGGGGAAACCCCCAATACAGGGAGATTTTTGTTCTAGACCGTCGGCTGGGATACACAGAGAAAGGGAAACCGATTTCTCTGGGCCAGAAGATGAACAAAAATTGTCAACAGCCCATGTCATTATCTCATGTCCAAAGTGCCTAATTCTCCTTCTAATGCACTCATGAGCCAACACACCATACCCGACAGGTCTTCCTACCTCTCCTCAAGGCGTTCTGGGCGTCTTGAGTCATGGCGTCAGCTTCATCCAAGATCACTAGTTTGAAGCCTTTCCTAGGAAAACAAATGGTACCATATGAAGATTTATTATTATTTTTTTATTTTAGACAGAGACTGTGTGCACCTGTGCAAGTGGAGGAGGGGGTGGAGGGAGAGAGAGAATCCCAGGCAGGCTCCACACTCGGCACTGAGCCCGACACGGGGCTCGACCCCACGACTCTGGGATCATGATCTGAGCAAAAATGAAGAATCAGACGCTCAACCAACAGAACCACCCAGGCGCCCCCGAAGATGTCTTTAATCTCCCTTCAATCTCCAGGCCGAAACCTACATGTTCACATTTGTGCCATCAGGCCGGGCCTCAGAGAGTCCACTCCTCCTTGACCTCTGAGTGAAGCAAACAAGTGTGGCTGTGCAGAGGACATGCCCATCACTCTTTCAACTCTTAAAGGGAACTGAGGTCTGACTTTTGCATTTTTTGTTTCGCTGCTGCCTCTGGCACCTTCACCTTTGTCTCCACTCCGTGTCCTGTTGCTCTGGCCTTGCTTTTTTCCACCACCTCCACTCCTGCCTGCCTTCACCTTTCCCTTTTTATCCATCCTCATCACAATTTATTTTTGTTTAAATTCAAACTAGCTTAGGGGCACCTGGGTGGCTTAGTCGGGTAAGCATCTGACTTTGGCTCAGGTCATGATCTCACGGTTCGTGAGTTCAAGCCCCACGTCGGGCTCTGTGCTGACAGCTCGGAGCCTGGAGCCTGCTTCGGATTCTGTGTCTCCCCCTCTCTCTCTGACCCTCCCCTGCTTGTCCTCTCTCTCTCAAAAAGAAATAAATTAAATAAAAAAATAATAATAAATTCGAACTAGCTCACCTGGTCCTAGGATGTAATCGGTCTTCAGTTAACTACTAAAACAAAGTTAACGCTTCCCCAAGGAACTTGCTAATATAGCAAGTTCTGAGATGATGTTTTATTTTCACATTTGCATTGTATCTTACCACCATCCTTGTACTTTATCTCTTTTTAATGGCTACTTTTGACAAAGGCATTGTTTACCTTTAGAGACTGGCAAAGGGGGAGGATTTAAAACATTAAGCTCTGTCATCTCACTGATCAAAACCTCTAGGGAGAGAAATTATACAAATAATTCTTACTTAAATATTGTCCTTGTGCTGGCAAAGCTCAGGATTGGTCCCCGAACGATATCTATTCCTCGGTCGTCTGAAGCATTCAGCTGAATGTGGAAGAGAGAAGCCGAAATAAATTAGACACATGTTGGTGAATTATCTATGAATTAATTTATCTTTTCATCAGTCCAGCTCGGCAAGCTAGGTCTCTAGATCTAACAACAGCTAAGAGATAAACACTATTAAAAAACCAAGATCACAATTGTATGTAAAACTCACAACTCACTAGATTGGTACATTACATTCTGAAAGGCCAACAACTGTGTTTCCTCCCCCTTTTGAGGACAATCACCGACATACTCTGGAGGAATAACTAATTGGCCTGGTCACAGTGAACACCTCTGGCATGAGCAGAATCGTGTTCAGTTTTAGCTACCGCAATCCAGAGCAACCCCGAAGTTACCAAGTCTTTAATGCATGGAATTAAGAACACTGGTGGCAGCAAGGTTCTAAGATCTCTGACAACAAAAAAAGTTAAACATTTTTTTTTGGAATAGACAATATTTAGAATTCTGTGACCTAAGTCTATCAGGCAAATCTCAGCAGCAGACAGATGGCAGACTCAAAACTCAGTGGTTTGAAGAGAATTCCGTGAAGAGAGATTTTAAAAGGTATTGGTGGGGTGTGGGGAAACCACGAGGGCTACGCAATCTCTCTGGGACTATCGGGGCCCGTTACCAGCCCCAGGTCCTCAGAAATGAGTTGGGGTGTGGTGTTGGCATCTGGAGAAGGCAGTGTGACTTGCTCTGTGGTTCAGGATGCTGTCAGCCTGTGGTGGCCCCCAGGGCAGAACCAGGCATCGTTCTCCTCTGACTCCAGCCAGGACCCCTATCAGCCAAACCTAACCAGGAGCCCGAGGACCAGGCAGCCTGCAGTCAATATAGCTTGGCCTTCCAGGGCAAGAACAGGGTGGAGCAACATGAAGAACAAATCTGGACAGCAAGCTACTGAGCGACCACTCCCTGAGTGACCACTGAGTGTTTGAGTAGAAGCTGGCAACGGCAGAGATATTTATCTAGCCCTACAGCTGCCCCTATCTAATGCCAATCCAGACCGAAACATCAATTCCAGGAAAAGTGACTCGAAATATTTTATGTCCAGCAAAGCAACTTACTTGTAAAGTAAAACAAATCTAAGAGAAAAACAAACAAACAACAAATCTAAGAGAAGTAAGAGACTCTCCTTTGTAGACTAAGAATAATCCTATTTACCTCCAAGACCATGGAGCCAAATTCCTTATCTTTGTATAGCTGTTTAGCACAGGCTAGGATGGTAGAGGTCTTTCCTGTCCCTGGAGGACCATAGAGAAGCAGGTGTGGCAGTCGGTCTTCGCTAATAAATTTCTGAACTGAGGATTGGGAGGAAAGAGAGACCCCATCAGTTTCCGGGAGTTGCCTCATTCGCTGTGGGCCCTTGAGTTGGGCTGAATGCACATCAACCTCACATCCAACTCAGAGGCAGATGCAGGAATGAAAAATGGGAAGGACTCAGCTCTTAGAGCAACACTCCATAAAGCTCAATCAGATCTTTCAAGGTTATTACTCAGCAGAGACATCACCAAGAAATTCATACAGGTCCTCCAACCAGACTAACAGCAAATGACACATGGATGCTTACTGGTACTCAAAATGTCCTGATGAGAAATCAGATCATTCAGTGTCTGTGGCCGGTATTTTTCAACCCTGAAATACAATTTAGCATGGATTATAACATATACAAATGCAAGGACATGCTGTTACGTGCAAAAGAATCCTTTCATATCCTAACAAAAAGAGGAAGAGAAGCAAAATCCTTTAAGTTTGAATACAGACCCCTGGTTCTCAACCAGGGGCAATTTTGTCCTCCAGGAAACACTCGGTGATATCTGGAGACATTTTCAGTTGTCACAACTGCGTAGAGGGTGCTACGGGCCTCCAATGGACAGGCCCCAGGGATGTCACTAAACATCCTACGATGCACAGGATAGTCACCATGCGCACACCCACCAAATATCTAGCCCAAAATACCAATAGTGCTGAGGTTGATAAACCCTGCTCTGATTTCCCCTCTCCAGCTGTCTGCCTATAAATAATCTCAACCTGGATGGGCACCTATCATTTCAAAGTAAATTAAAAACTGAACTCGTTCCCAAATACACATCAAAGATGAATGGATAGATAAATGGCGGTCTATCCATACAAGGGAAGGCTATTCAGCCATAAAAACGACTGATGCACTGATACCTGCGACAACATGGATGAACCTTGAAAACATGGTGCTAAGGGAAAGCAGCCAGTCACAAAAGGCCACAGATTGAGTCTATTTATATGAATATCCACAATAAGCAAATTCAGAGAGAGAAAGTGGATCAGTGGCTGCCAGGGGTGCAAGGGGATGGGGTGGTAATGGGGGAGTCACTGCCAACAGGTATGGAGTTTCCATTTGGGGTGATGAAAAGTTTTGGAACCAGGCAGTGAGATGGTAGCACGACATCCTCAGTGTACTTAATGTCACTGAACTATACACTTTAAAATGTTCACAACTGCAAACTGTATGTTGTGTGTTTTTTCCACGATAGAAACAAACTGAACTCCTTACTAGACAAGACCAACTTGGAGCTTTCCGAAATCAAGCCAAATCCTATCAGTTTCTAAACCATCATTCAGATGCAGCTGTGAAAGTAAGACGGTTTGGAGTGCAAGCTCTGAATTCACCTGGGTTCAAATCCAAACCTATTTTCAAGCTCTGGACCTTAGGCAAGTCATTTAACCTTGCAGTATTACAACTGGAATAATAACAGCACATACCTCCTAGGGTCCTTGTAAAGATCAAACATCTAACAGGGTCCTTGGTGATCTAACAGGAAGCCATTTAAATACCACTTAACTAGGGAGCGTTATCATCATCATCATTTCAGTTTAGAATTTGAACAATAACTGCACTGAAGATTACGCAAGAGTAGAGGGCATTTTGGCACGGAAGCCGATGCAAAGTCGGAAGGGACTGAACCGCTACACTGTCACCCACCGCCTAAAAGGGATGGGGGCGGTGGGATTAGGGCAGCGGAAGACATGACAAAAGTCCTAAAAGAACGGAGGGGACCGGGGAGTTGCGGATGCCAAGGCGAACTTCTGGGGCTCCGTTCGGCTGCAGGTCGGGGGCGGTGGAGCGAAGTCGGGCTGCGGCCGCTCCACTTGACCACCCAAGCCACCGATCCCCTTCCCCGCGGCAGCCGGGCCTCCTCCTACCAGGGCAGGTTTCTGATCTTGGCCTCCGCGGGCTGCTGCTGCTCCTTCTTCGCTGAGGTCTCCATGGCGGGGTGAAGAAGGTGTCCGGGTCCGCTGGAGTCGTCGCGTCCCCCGGGGGCCTGCACAGCCACTAGCCACAAGCGGACCCCGGGACCCTGGCACTTAGAGTTCGCGCGCAAAAGCAACTCTCGCGAGATTTAGCCGCCAGCTTCCGACTTCCTCCGTGAGTCCCGCCCCCTCTCCGTTGCCAAGGCGCCGGTTACCACGTTACCGGTAGGCGCCGGCTGCCAGCCTCCCTCCGGGTCCGCCCTTTTAGACCCGCGCTGCCCTCTGGCCGGTGCGGCTGGGCTTCCTGAGCCCCGGGATGTGGGGGAGCTGGAGAGGCAGGGCCACCCCTTGCAGCCGCCAGTCATCGTTTCAAACCAAAGTCTCACGGTCAGTGCCAATTCCAGCCACCACCAAAGTTCAAACACCTACCGTTCAAAGGAACAGAAAGCCGCCAGCGCTAA